CCTGGACATGTCCTGGCTGGGATTTCTAAATTGCCTATAATGTCCAGGTTTTGGCTTTGTTTCTGTGGCCTCTAAATACATTATATGTACGCATATTTGCATTGCTTTGATGAGACGTCAGACTTAAAGTCAGAATTAAAGTAAAAAGACCATAGACACCTAGACAAGACCATGTAAATATACTTAATATGTCTTGCTGATCTTTTGATGAAAAAAAAAACACATCCATAAATAAAGTGTAAATTAAAATGTACATTCTCTAAAATAATTTTCAAAAACTTGATACTGACACACAGCATTGCAAATTTTGTTGTAAATTATACAAAGACTACTCAAGTATGTTTTACAAGAAAATACTATTTCAGTTTTTTTTTACTTCAAAATTTGTTAAAATCGTTTCTACACCAATACTTTTTAATCGGATCAATATGGACTCATACCTTGCAGATTCTGTAGGGGGAGTGTCATGATGCCACCAGCAGCAGCGGCTGCCACCAGGCCCTGTATGTTGGCAGCAGTGGGCAGAGACAGAACCAGGCCCTGCTGCCCACCCAGATGCCCGCCAGCGTTAAAGGGGATCAGAATGGGCTGGTTGAGACCAGGAGCTCCTCCGGACATCACTCCACTAACTGCTGACGCCAGCTGCTGAGCAACCAACAGAGACTGAAAAGAAAGCAAATAGGAAGTTAATTAAGTTTTTTAAAGTACGATGTGAAGCATCACAGTCGAGTTCTTTTTTTTATAATTTTATGTTTTATTTAAAATTATTTTCCAAAGTTTGGGATCAGTAAGACTTGTAATGTTTTGTAAGGAAGTCTCTTATGCTTATCAAGGCTGCATTTATTTGATCAAAAATACAGAAAAAAATGTAATCTTGCAAAATGTTGTGTTATGTTATGGTTTCAATTTTAATATCCTTTAAAATATCATTTATTTCTGTGATGCAAAGCTGAATTTCCATCAGCCATTACTCCAGTATAAAGTGTCACATGATCCTTCAGAAATCATTCTAATATGCTGATTTATTATTAGAATTATCAATGTTGGCAACTGTTGTGCTGCCAAATATTTTTTGGGAAACTGTGACACTTTTTTCAGGATTCTTTGATGAATAAAAAGTTATAAAGAACAGCATTTATTGAAAATATTTATTCATCCAGGTGGATGCTACACACTGGTGGTGGTTGAGGAGATTCCCCCCTTCTATGTAAAGCGCTTTGAGTGCCCAGAAAAGCGCTATATACATGTAAGAAATTATTATTATTATAAAATTTTTCTAACAATATAAATCTTTGCTATCACTTCTTATCGATTTAACACATCTTTGCTGAATAAAAGTTTTCATTTCTTTCAAAAAAGAAAGAATAAAGATTTACTGAACCCAAACTTTTGAACGGTAGTGTATATTGTTAGAAAATATTTCTATTTTAAATAAATGCTCTTCTTTTAACTTTTTATTCATCAAAGAATCCTGAAAAAGGGGCCACGGTTCCCAAAAAAAAAATTTAAACGGCACAACAGTTTCCAGCACTGATAATAAATCGGCATCTTAGAATGATTTCTGAAGAATCATGTGACAGTGAAGACTGGAGTAATGATGCTGAAAATTCAGCTATGCATCACAGGAATAAATTAGATTTTAAAGTATATTAAAATAGAAAAACGTTATTTTTACATCGTAATAATATTTCACAATATTAAATTTTTTCCTGGATTTTTGATCAAATAAATGCAGCCTTTATGAGTATAAGAGACTTCTTTAAAAAACATTAAAAATCGTTCTGATCCCAAACTTTTGAACGGTAGTAAGTGTATACAATTAATTTTTATTTTCCAGTTTGAAATGCATATGAAAATCTACTTTAAAACCTCCAAATTTAACACAAAATACAGAATAACATTGATGCCAAAACACTTACTGTTGAGAATTGGACAATATTAGCTAAAAGTGCTTGTGCTAGCAGAATCCACTGCTGGGTCTGACAAATCAAATGCTTTTCCTGCAGGAGACCAGAGCATTTTTCTTTTCAGCTCACCCAAGCACTGTTTTACACCTATATACTGTACAAAAAGCCTGTCTGTGATTCAGCTTACAGCTACCACACCGCCTGCTCCTCCTTCCAACAAGCCAGCAATTTCTCACTCTCTCTCACTTACAAACACAGGCTATGTTATCATCACCCCCATTAGCATTTATCTATGCTTCTTTGGCTTAATTTTGTAGTCAACTTTATAATTGAAGGCTTTCTCATCCAAGTCTTATTTTTCAAGCATTGTTTCTTCAATTATGAATTTGTACACTGTCAATAGTGTGAAACAGTGTCTCAGACTCTTTAGTTGTATAGAAAAGAGCAACATGAGGTTGAGTAAATGACAACAGAATTTTAATTTGGGGACTTTAATGTTACGCAGAATAAAACATTCCTGGTTGAAGCAGTTTCATCATTTCTGGCATGCTGCACTGTTCCTAATTTATGAATGGAGAGAAAAAAATGCATGGAATTACATGGAATAGAATGGCAATAAAGATATAAAGTGCAATTATTCAAGCAGTATTTTTTTTCTAGAGAAAACAATCAAACTGTAAGTGGTTCACTGGTGCATTTGATTTCTGTATGATAAGACAAGGCTTTACTCATTGCTTTAACATTTCATTTATAACAAATATTTTGAATCAAATGATAATCAGCATAAAATAACACTATTAAATATTCTTTCTCCATCTACATGGAAAAACAAACAGACAAAAGGAATTTGTCAAAAAAGGATAAAACCCTTCTTATAGAACATACTGAAAGATGTAATTTCTTTCACTTTAAACACTGACATTAAAAGAATGCAAAAAAAAAAAAAAAATTAACCACTCAAAGGATGACAACAAAGATTCTTCTGACAAAGCTGTGTGACATATGCTTAATCTTGCTGTTTTAAGTGTGTGTGTGTGTGTGTGTGTGTGTGTGTGTGTGTGTGTGTGTGTGTGTGTGTGATGACGGTTACTTGAGGCACAAAATCAAAGATTGTCTGCCAGCATCTCATCTCAATCTCAAAGTGAATGCCACTGCCTGGTTTGCCACTGTGTCCACATGATGCTTGAAATCTTTACTTTTTAAATAAATCCGTTAAGAACTCCATTTGTTGATATATTCTTAATTAGTTGGAATATACTGTATGGTTCAAAAGTTTAGGGTGAGTATGACTTTTTAAAAATGTTTTCAAAATATGCTTCTCTGAATGGCCATGCTCGACTGCTTTAGAGAAGAGGAAGAGAAAACGTCTCAGGTTACGCATGTAACCATGGTTCCTTTCAGTCAGTCACGTTCGACGTTACGTCAGGGGATCTCTCTTGAGGGGATCTCAGGGGATCTCTCAATTGGGATCTCTCGGGCGAGATCCCAATTACCTTCGAGTGTTAAACAAGCCAATGACAGTTGGCGTGCATGTTTCGCCACACGCACCCCGCTCCGCAGCGCGGGTATAAAAGGAGAGCGCGTGCAAACGCACATCAGCTTTTCGCTTTGGAGCCGAGCCTTCTACAGGACGAATCTCCGCGAGTGTTTGGGAAAAACAGCTGCCGTTGGTGTCACGGCGCGTCAGCGGGGGTTGCCATCCAGGCTGCTAGAAACCTCGGCGGGCTGCAGCTTCCATTCTGCGGTCTCGCCGCAACCTCCCCTGGGTGCTTCAGAAACAATCCCAGAAATGATTAATTACTTGATTAGCCCAACATATGAAATAATAGTCCTTTATAACATATAAATGACTTTTAAACAAAACACATTCATTTCTGATCTTTATAACAGTATAGCAGACAACTTACATAAAATGCTTATAATACTCTAAATCTCCCAATAATTAGTTTTAGTAAGATATTTAAATGCTTAGTTTTTTTTATCTTGCTGTTTTTTGTGTGTGTGTGTGTGTGTGTGTGTGTGTGTGTGTGTGTGTGTGTGTGTGTGTGTGTGTGTGTGTGTGTGTGTGTGTGTGTGATGACGGTTACTTGAGGCACAAAATCAAAGATTGTCTGCCAGCATCTCATCTCAATCTCAAAGTGAATGCCACTGCCTGGTTTGCCACTGTGTCCACATGATGCTTGAAATCTTTACTTTTTAAATAAATCCGTTAAGAACTCCATTTGTTGATATATTCTTAATTAGTTGGAATATACTGTATGGTTCAAAAGTTTAGGGTGAGTATGACTTTTTAAAAATGTTTTCAAAATATGCTTCTCTGAATGGCCATGCTCGACTGCTTTAGAGAAGAGGAAGAGAAAACGTCTCAGGTTACGCATGTAACCATGGTTCCTTTCAGTCAGTCACGTTCGACGTTACGTCAGGGGATCTCTCTTGAGGGGATCTCAGGGGATCTCTCAATTGGGATCTCTCGGGCGAGATCCCAATTACCTTCGAGTGTTAAACAAGCCAATGACAGTTGGCGTGCATGTTTCGCCACACGCACCCCGCTCCGCAGCGCGGGTATAAAAGGAGAGCGCGTGCAAACGCACATCAGCTTTTCGCTTTGGAGCCGAGCCTTCTACAGGACGAATCTCCGCGAGTGTTTGGGAAAAACAGCTGCCGTTGGTGTCACGGCGCGTCAGCGGGGGTTGCCATCCAGGCTGCTAGAAACCTCGGCGGGCTGCAGCTTCCATTCTGCGGTCTCGCCGCAACCTCCCCTGGGTGCTTCAGTGCTCTCTAAAAAAGTAATTTCCTTCAAAAAAAAAAAGGAGCAATTTCTAAAAGAGCTTCATGAGCGATGAGCGTCTTTTTAAAGATGGCTTCCCGCTTGTGCGTTTCTGGATGTGGTCGCTTCCTGGCTTCATCTGATGGTCATGATCGCTGTATCTCGTGCCTGGGCTTGCAGCACGCTAAGGCAGCGCTCATGGATGAGTCATGTTCTCAGTGCGGGAACATGACCATCGCGGTGTTGCAGTCTAGATACCTCCTCATGAAACGGGGGGTATCCCCCTTGCCATGCCCTGTTCTAGCTTCACCGGTTCTCGGAGGGCTATTTCGGTTCATGGTCAGGGAGATCTGATCACGGTGAGAGCTTCCCCGTCGAGTACGTCTCCGCGGGCCTCTCATTCCTCTAGCGCGTCGCACCGCCTGGTGTTCCCGGACAAGTTTGCTGGTTCCTCGGACAGGGCGGGGCCCAGCATTTCGTGCGGAGCACAGACAGATGACAGGATGTCGATCGCTGCATCGGAGGGCGAGCTAGGCTCTGGGGATGAGGTACAGCCGGTCCCTCCAGCCGAGACAAGGTCAGAGTTTTACAGCCCATACTTCATCATACCCAAGAAAGGCGGTGGGTTACGACCAATCCTGGACCTGCGCGTGCTGAACCCGGCCCTTCACAAGCTACAGTTCAGGATGTTGACGCAGAGACGCATCTTTCAATGCGTCCGTCCTTTCGATTGGTTGAGCGATCGACCTCAAGGATGCGTACTTTCATGTCTCGATTCTTCCTCGACACAGACCGTTTCTCCGCTTTGCGTTCGAAGGGCGAGCGTATCAGTACAAGGTCCTCCCCTTCGGGCTATCCCTGTCGCCTTGTGTCTTCACCAAGGTCGTGGACGCAACCCTCGTTCCATTGAGGGAAGCAGGCATTCGCATTCTTAACCACCTCGACGACTGGCTCATACTGGCCCAGTCCCGAGCGCAGTTGTGCGAACA